ATTTTAAAGGGCTAATCCCGATATTTATTGGAGAATAAAACTGCTTAATTTTCTGTTAAAATTCCTTAAAATCCTCTAGCTGAGGGCCGAGCAACTAACTCAATATCTGTGATAAGTTTTCAAGCAACTTAAACCCGCCAGTCTTCATATGGAAATGGAGACCGATGTCCCAAGCTGTATTATGCGGTGTCTGGATAAAACCAGACTTTTATTTTATAAAGATAATGTGTAGGTGAAATTTACCTTTCGTTATCAAGTAGAGTACATGGGTCATTCACTATATAGACCTCTCAAGGAACGGGAATCGATTATCAGGTCACCGAAAAAAAAAAAACACTGCCCCAAAATCTTAAAAGGGTTACGTGTCCGGATAAGCAGTTTTGACGTTCAAGTCCAAACGGCTCAATATTTTGAGCTAGAATTTTGAGAGAAGGTAAATACACCATTCCTCTACATTTTGGCGCTTAAATTTCATACGTACTCAGACTATTATTTTTGAGACTCTCTTGAAATCGGGATAGTCCCTTTAACGTAAAGTATTTAAGGAGAAATTTCGATTTAGATATCGTTTAAAAAACAAGACAATAAAACCCTAAGATTGCTTTGGATGATTAAATCAAGATCCCAGAGGCTTAAACCCATTAAACATGCCACGTACGCTTTATTTAAAAGATGGTATCATGTTTATCTGAATACCATTAAGCTCTATTCCGTAAATATAAAACTAAAGTATGTTACATCGCCCTTCGGCGACTTTCAATCAATATTATTTCGATTAGGGAGATAATTACATATTGCCCCTCACATTTACAAAAGAATACTGGTACTACAAAGCCAACGTTCTCACACAATTATTAATTAGAAGATGTCAAAATTTGCCCGACCTAGGTGTTCCTTGAAAAATATAAAAACACTACAAATATATCGTTTTTACTCTAACTAGGAGAACATTGGGCATTAACAATGTTATGGTTGTTTTTTTTATGAAAGCCGACAAGCACTGTCGGTGAAGCGTTACAGAAAATACGGAAATGTCGGAAGGGAGGGGAGAGTACATTCCGGCGACAGTAATCCTTGAAGTATAATAAATGGACATAACTCCATTATCCATCATCTGACTCTGTCAATCTGTTTCACAATGGTAATGCGAAGGTCTTCTTTTAAACAGACTGGCAGAAGCCATTAATGGTTAGCGTGCGTGCGCTGTATCATAAAGTCTGTCATTGAGTCGACTGGCGTGGTTTCGAATCCCCGGTTGTACGTGACAAGGAGTAGGGTCGCCTGTCCAACCTCGTGGGTTTTCTCCGGGTCCTCCGGTTTCCTCCCACTGCTAAAAACCCCTACGCGCAAGCGAATTATAGAAATAAAATTAAACCATATGTTAGTCCCGAAATGACCTAGTTTGTGTCGAGTGGACGTTAAACCCCATTTCTCTTTCTCTCTCTCTCTCTCAGAAACTATTGAAATCTAAATATAGGGTAACGCACAAATTTACGTATCTCGGCCATATAAGACGAAACGAAATCTAGGTAAGCAGGTGAATCAAAATTGGAATTTGTGAAAAAATTCGACTGTAATTGGGCTAGGCAAAACAATAAATGACTGAAGATTTCAATTGTTTTCCCTCCTGCTTACTTAAATTTCGTTTTGTCATATATGACCGAGTTACCTAAATTTTGCGTTACCCTATATTTAGATTTCAATGGCGTCTGCAAAGCTGTTTAGCAGAAGGGGACGTGTTTTTAACGGCATGTTGTGTCACACATACTGACTCGAGCGAGGTAAGTAATGTCTTATTTTGTCACTAAAACGTTCCTTTACATTGTATAGGCGTTCACAGGGACTGACACGCGACCGTTTACCAGTAAAAAGTTTCCCAGTAAGATTTACTGAGAATAGGCCGGTTCCAGAACGTACAGGGCGTGTGTAATGAGACCTACGTTCAGAGCTGAACTAAGGCGGCGCCAGCCGCCGGTGGTTGGAGGAGCAAAGCTGGGGCAAAGTTCAAGGTTAAGGTGGCAAAGGCGCGAGCTTCAAGCAGGGGTATGACCCCCCCCCCCCCAGAAATATTTAAAAAAAAACAGACTGCCGGAAATGCAGTGAGGCAGCATTTCAGGCACTGATCGTCCAGATCAGGACCACACTGATCAGAGCGGAAAGTGTCAGATGAACCTCATGAGCGCCAAAGTAGCGAGCCCTTACGAAGTGTATGGGGCGCGAGCTTCGACCAGTAAAATTTTGAAATGCAGTCTGACAGTATTCAGACACCAAAAAAACGGACTTGCAAACATCAGCTAAGACCTTACGGAGGGTATGGGGGATCTCCCACAGAAAATTTTGAAAAATAGACTGCCGGAAATGCAGTTTGACAGTATTCATACACCAATTGTCGAGATAAATAAAGCTTACCATATACCGCTTGCCGTGTGATCACTAGTTTATCCGTAGTCTCGGTAACCCAGTAGCTCCTAGTCTTTAACGTGCGAAGGGTCTGGGACCGTTGTCAATATTTGACGAATAGTCCAATTCCTATGCGTAACCGGGAGTTTGGGTTTTTTTTATGTGGCTGATTATCCGGTATCTTTGGCCAAGTCAAGTAAGAGTTGCACCCCTTCCCCCAATAAATCCTATTATTCTTGTATAAACAAACACGAATCGTGACGACGAATTAGGATTAATTATTAAAAAAAAACATAGATATGGCCCATGAAGAGAGAAATTTTACAATAAAAAAAAATTAAGAATGTTGGATATTGAACTGGCAATGCAATCAAATGGATTTTTTGAAATGGCATTTTTAAATTAATTTCATGGACATCAACATCTTGTTATGTAAAAGATGGCTCTGTCAATCTGTTTCACAATGGTTATGACGGCATAGATAACACGAGCGTTGTTTACATCGGATCGGAAATAGTAACATAAACTGGTCCGAGCAGAATTTTAAATTTTCCCGGAGCACGTACCTGTGGAAACGTTAATTGCAGGTGGTGGTGGGGGGGGGGGTCCGGAAACTAACGAGGTCACTGTCAAAACACAGAAAATGACAATGACAAACTAATCTGTGCGGGAGCCTATTGTCCATACCTATATATTAATTCATACCCATGACTGGCGCAACTGAAGAATAATAAGGTCGAATTGCAAGTATAATTCGGCGGAAATTAGAAAATTTTTGAAATTTAATACTTCCTCAAGAGTAGAATCTCTAGCGTATAATATTCAGAAACAATAAATTCCGTTGAATCAATAAGAATTCGAAATAAAAGTGATTCTGATTAAAGACATTCTAGAATGAAATTATCGCTCTTCTACTGTATGATATTGATGTTACGCCACAGACACAGAAATGTGAAAAAGAAGCATGCAAATTCTAGCGAGCTCGAGTTTTATGGGGGACTGGGAATGATTAGCTGGACACACCGTAAAGCGACAAAACAACGTATCATAACTCAGATTCAAATTTTCAAATATGGGTTTGGTACAATGATGGGCCACTCTTCAGTGATAACTGGTGCGCCTTTTTGTCCAGATTGAAACTTTCTGAGAGCACGTCCTATATTTCTCAGAGCACGGTTTTCGCTCATTAGACCACAGACGTGCCCCAAGGCATGTTAAAATAGGCCCTGCATTTACACTAAGTAAGAAATCTTTTTTATTCAAATATATTTTACAGAATTTTATTTACAGAAGAACGCTGTTAATATTGAGAACTAATTAACTGGCCCCGGGGTCATCGCTGTCAGTGATGGTATCGACCAAGCGAATATTTACTGCTGATCAGTTTGTAAATGTCCTACTGTTCTGCCTCGAATGAAGATGAACTTTCTCATTCAATGCAGGGATCGAACACGCGACCTCCAGGAAGAAAGCATTATTTGGGGACAAGGGCGCATGGCTGTGTTCACTGGAACCTAAAATAGACGAAAATGGGTCTAAAAGCACATATTCATTTAATGTGAATGTACATAAAGTGATTTATATTAAATTCTTAATCCAATTATTGTAATTTCTAATCAATTACAGTTCAAATTGAACGACGGTCGTTTACGCCGGTTTAGTCCATTATACAAGGTTTTTATCATTATTGTTTTATGGTTTGTGAATCAACCATTACCAATTACTTCCGCAGTGTCTTTTAGGATATGGTTTGCTTTGTTCATTACAAATGACGCCCAATCTAGAATGTTCATTGTGTCTATCTTGAATATTGGATGTTAGGGTCCCATATTTTCACGGAAAGAAATGATTGAAATGGACCGATATTGAATTCTAATTCTTTTTTTTTTTAAATTTCAAATATTATGGAAAATATTGAATTAGAGGTTTAGCTCCATTAAAATGTAAAAAGTTTACCAATCTATACGATAGTCAGTAAATCAGTAGATCCAAATCGCAACATCGTATGATCTTTATTATTGCATGAATGCTGTCTCTGCGTGGCTCCAACCTACATTTTCGTTGCGCTGAACGCTTTCCATAACAGACGGAGCAACACCTTAAAGAAAATTGGTCATGCTGAAGGAAAATGAGAGAGAGAGAGGGGGGGGGGAGTATTATTGCATGGTATTTCCTGGCTGTTTTTAAAGGTGGCCTGCCTCCATTTGATTGCACGGTGACCGTACGGATGAACGAACTCTTTTGCGATTTTGGAATTTAACTAACGCCAAACCAAATATAGATTATCCAATAATTCAGCAATAAAAATGCACAGAACACAGAATGAAGACGGGCGTATAAATAATATGCAAAGATGCAATGCACTAACATTGACGATATGCGACGACGTGGATACTTATACGTAAAACAACGGCCAACTTATTGATAACTGAAACATTAGAAAAAATTCTGGATGTGAACATACATACTAGAAATAAATTCTGAACTAAAACAGTGTTATGATTTATTTAAAAAAAAAATATTATCTCGAAAACTAATTCTTTATATGATATGAGAAATTGGACTAAAAATACAACTTACACAAGGTTTGCAGTCAAATTAACCTTTATGAATTAGACGCTTGTAAATTTTGATACGTATATTTGAATTATTATAATCGTCTAAAAGTTGAAAATCGTATTCTTTTCTGGCACAATAATTAACAACAACACTAATAATAATAATATTGATCATGATGATGATGATAATTTAATTCATTTGGAGAACGCTTAATATCCATCTGAACGTAAAGTTGCATACATTAAAACATATCACATATTAAACAAGAAATGCTAAGCCTTAAACACATTTTAAAAATAGACGGATAGGACATCAAAATGATTATTGTAAAATTGCATTATAAGGCTCAGAATTGGGCTGCATCTCGAACAACTATGTACTTACAATATGAGGGCTGGCTGAAAAGGACAGATCAATTGAGTTGAAACAAACATTTGCCATTAACAAGTACATGCAATCATTGAATGAATCATAAACATGAGAACTACAACTGTAGTGTTATTATTGACTTCGTACCAGACCATCTTGGGAACCTACCCATTAAAATCACAAGAAATGGACAAAACTGGCTATAGGGAAGTCATCAAGTACCAGCAATTGAAAGGACTTATCTCAACACAGATACAAGTCGATAATAATGGTCTCCACTTTAGGAGATGATGCCCCTTCCTTTTCCACAGTAAAGAAGTAGGCTGCGAAGTTTACGCGTGGCAGAGAGGCCTTGACGATGACACGCGCCCTGGAAGGCCATCAACAGCAACCATTCAAGAAAACATCACCCGGGTGCATGACATGGTAATGGCTGATCGACGATTGACCAGTCGACATATTGCCAGTGTTGTGGGCATCTATCATGAAAGGGTTGAGTACATTATCGCCAACGAGTTACGAATGACAAAAGTTTCTGCATGATAGGTACCAAAGCTCTTGACTGCGGATCGAAAACGTGACGATTTGTGCCGCTTTGAAGCAGATCCTTGTAATTTTTTTATTTTTACCAGATTTGTAACCATGGATGAGACTTGTTTCCAAAAATGAAAAATAAACTAACCAGTCGTCATTTTCCTAGTAATAATGTCAGCTGTGAATAACTTTTTTAGGGCGGCTGAAGAAAATTTCTTCCTGGTTGGTATCCAAGCCTTGCAACATCGTTGGCAAAAGTGTGTACACCGCTAAGGGGACTATGTAGAAAAATCAATGGAAACCATCGACTTTGTACAGGTCTTTCACAGATTGTCTTAGAACTTTTAAGCCAGCGCTTGTACCATACCCTTTGTACAAATTAAATATAATACTTACATCAACACAAGCAATCGGTATTCCTCGATTAAATTAAGATTATTTTTTTAAGATTATTTTGAAACATTTCGCGGTACACTGCAAATAATGTCAACCAAGAAATTATTTCCCATTACGTCTGGATAATCGTTGCGCGATGAAGAGAACAATGGGACAAATCACTAAAATTTACTTTAAGATAGTAGAATATACCAAACATTTGTAGGTAACATAACTTGATAAAGTGTTGTGTGAAAGGATAAATGTCATATATTTTGATAGATGATGGTGTGAAATCAACGGAAAATAATGTATGTGCGCCAAATGTCCACAATGACTTCCGCTAATATTATTCTGGTTTGGTATCAAGTTATGTATTAAACCTTCAAACATTTTGTTTTCTGTCCACGCGAACTTAGACCTCACTGGGGTTTTATGGTGGCCTAAAGTTTTAAAATTATCATGAATTAACGAAACCCTCAGTTAATTCAAGGAGGCTTCGTATTTCATACGTAATATTTTGGTTCAAGTTTTTAATTCGGTTGGTCTACACTAGATAAAGAACTAACTACTTTCTTATATAAGCGGGAAAAGGTATGGTCTAATTTGATTAGACGCAATTATTCTGAAAAGACTTATAGTTTATAATATGAAAACACAATTTTGAATAAGCCCGAAATTAAGGAATTCTTGACAGGCTATTCAATACTGATTATATCTACTATAATTTGCTGACATTTAAATCATTCCTTTAAAATTAACCATGCGACTGTGGATAAAATTAAACTATATAACACTAAAGACAACAGTGGTTTTGATGTACTATTTATGTCATCATCGGTTGTAACTATACCACCATTTGTTGTAGCTATACCATCATTGGTTGTAACAATACCGTACTTTGCTCTTAAATCAATATGGTTGCACAGATTGGTAGGACAGTGGTGCGCGCAGGATGGTCGAGTTGATCCACCAACACAGCCATTAGACAAAGAAGGCGGTATCTTACAGGATCGAGATAGTGACAGCAGGGTTTCAAAATCTACAATGACATGTGAAGGTGATATACGTTACAAATACTAAGGGAGATAGACCAAATCCGTGTACCAAGCTTACCAATTCATTTAGTATCCACATTAATAAAGAGGTACTAATTATCAGACTACCATTACCCCCACTCATGCCAGGGACGTCGTTTAAAATTCAATTGCCCTACAAAAACGTTTCAGCTTCTGAAATCCTGGTCTAAACTATCGCCCCAGATATCCTTAAGTATTGACGGGTGTCATACACTAGAAAAGTTGTGCTTATATATAAAAACATATATTCAACTTACTCTATGTGAAAGTAGCATCTATAGAACACTGGGGTGGTGCCTGACATTGCGTCTTTGAAGTTTGGACAAAGTTTCGTGTATTGTTTACACAATCATATCCATAAGTTTCGTCATTTCCAGCAAAGATATATGTACATGTGTAACACGGATAGCCTGAAATAAATAAAATTCGTTAATAAGTAAACCATTGTTTTTGTACAGTACAAGGCCGCGGAAGAGCACTAGCCTCTCGACTAGAATTACCAGATTCGAATCGAGTTCTAGCTTAACAATAACGGCAGCCTCTATGGGTCCGACAATGAACGTGGGTCTAGTCGTTAAGATCACAAGCACGTGTGAGATGGGACAGCTCTTTCATAAATAGCTTGAAGCTGGGGATAAACATTATGCCTAATGTCTATTAGCTTCTATCAATGTAAGTCAGATAATCAAATTCATGGCCATTACAGAGTTGGCCAAAAAAATGTTACCCATTCTGATTGTACTCTAATTTTTTAAATGTGAATACTTTAATAATTTTTTTCAAAAAAATGTAACAGAAGCAAGAAGTTTTTATTGAAATATAAGTCTCCTATTTAGTCACTATTTCTGAACAGGGTTCAATAATTATGACATGTTCGATCAATGCACCCCTTTGGCCCAACCTGTAACTCGTGTGAAACTTCTCCATAAACTATACTTTTTCTAAACAGTTATTAACATTATTACTGATGTCATATGGTAACTTGTTCTATAAAACAGGGCTTTAAAAGAAAAGTTATCATCTGAAGAACATAAAAATCGCCCAAGTGTATGCATATTTAAAAATTAACAATAATTACTAAAGATACATTATGGGAGATAAGATAAAGAACTGGCAGTTATCACTATAATAGTTAAAAACTAGATAATGTAAAGGCAATTTGCTGAAAATTTCAGTCAAATTGATTAACTATGAACGGAGAATTAAGCGATTGAAATTTCGGACTAGCCTCGATCATCATTACTAAAGTCTGTACGATAAAAAACAGTCTCGATCATCCATTTCATGATTAAATTATGAATGGAAGTCGAGCAGCAAATGGGGTCATAATCCAGTAAATATCGCTGGCTAGCTATGCCATCGAGAGTTGCTTATGGTCTGGATAAGTTAATTAATGTCTCATTAATAATTTAGATAACATTTCAGGCCCAAAGAAAGACCTGCAATTGGCAGATTTAGCTCTTGCATAATGTATGTTTAGGGAATTCACGACTTTAAAAGGCGCTTTCTCTTTCTTTTTTCAGTTATCGATTTTGTTTGAATACAATTTTGATTTTGATTCTTCTAGTCACTCAGTTTTTCTGTCGTGTAGATCTCTTTAAAGACATGTAGAAAATGTTTTTATGAGGTACATATCAATAAAATATACTATTCAGTAGAATTTTACAGCCAATATTTATGTCAATTAATTATTAAGGAATTCGCGACTTTGAAAGGAGCTTTCTCATTATTTTTACTGTTATCAGTTTTGTTTGAATACAGTTTTGATTTTGATTCTTCTAGTCACTCAGTTTTTCTCAGCCTTGTAGATCTCTTTATGGACAAAAAACAAAACAAAAAAATGGATTTTGTATATACATAATTACCCATTGGCTACACAGTTGTTCCAGTCCACATTTTGATTATGATTGATAAAGATGTTACACTAATCTTAAAACCTTCTGCTGATCTATAACAAAAAACAAGTGAACCTTTCCAAAGATGCCTTACGAACTATGATTGTTGCTAACACCGCATAACAGATTATGTGTATTAATAAAATTGGTAGTAAAAGACATATATAGATATTATGGGTAGATCAGAATGTAAGGAGCAATGTAAAAAAAAATGATCGGTATCTTCGAGGAAATGACCACAATCACACTCGGGGCTGTCCGAAATATGCATCAAAAATATATGCCCATTTAAGTCGCTGCAAAGGAGACGAAGACAACTATGTAATATTTGAATTTTGCGTTAACCCCAAAGTTTAAATCAGGGGGTATAGGTTTATCTTTATCAGTTATTTTAGTTTTAAATTTGGATATAGATGTTGAATATTTAAAACTTAGATCAAGTTTATTCCACTCTTTTATCGTAGAAGGTATACAGGGTTTAGAAAATTAAGTTGTTTATCAAAGGTTATCAGTTGAATTATTACTATTACGAATAGTATATTGAGATTGGGAAAAATGAATTTAATTGTAGTAACCTATGACTGGTATCCTTTACAGCTCCGCATATAGTCCTGAGTGCATCCAGCTGTAATTTTTGGTTCGTCTATGCACCTATCTCATATTACGTCACAATAGTCAACATGTGGAAGAATAAAAGAGGTATAGTTACAGTTTTTTTTGCAAAGTCAATCCCAAATACTTGAGTTGATAACTGCTTTAACTGTTTTGCGACATTTTTTGGGCATCGAACATTATTTGTTTCATCACCTTTCGGGAATCGTAATTTCTTTAAATTAACAAATATATTAAGATTTAGAACATTTAAAATCAATTTCATAAACAGTGATATTTTTTCGGGAATCATCATTATTCTTTGGGCGATCGGCTTCGCAGGCCGCGGCTCCGTGGACTCTAAACGTGTAACTTTTCGGGCTTCATCATAGTTGGTTTCGGCTATTTCCCATCCGAACGACCTTACAGCTGTTCTTGTCAGGGCCTCCGTCAGGGGAAACCATGCCGGAAAGAAACAGGGCTGTGTCTTACTCACTAACTCATCTCGGGACTAACATATGGTTCAATTTTATTTCAATAATTCGCTTGTGTATTGGGGTTTAAGTAGCAGAAGGAAACGGAAGTAGCCGGAGAAAACCCGAGAGATGGACGTACAGGTGACCCCTAATGGCAGTCAGAAATTAAGACTACGCTACGGACAATACTGGGCGAACGTATGAAACTGAAATAATAACTGTTAATGTGTGACTTGTAACAAATAGCACTTTTAGTCTACTTTGCCGTTGCTTTTCTTCTCAGAAAAAATCGTAAAAAGGGTGCAAATTCAAAATTCATAGACAGGTCTTAAAGGGACAATAACACTCTTGCTGGCTTGACAGCTCCAGAAAATAAAAAATAGCCTTATTCTAAGTACTAGATGTGTTAGTGTCTTACCTGGTGTGTAAATTATCCATTAAATCCTATTTTACTTGTCCAGAGGGTTCAAAAATAGTTTTAAATCCAAGTCACATTTGAAAAGCTTTACGTCAGGCTTTTCAATTCATTTTGTTGAATTTTTCCAATTTTTTTAAATTAGGTGTGTTAAGATGAAATTTGTATCATCAATTAATTGGAATATTATAAAATAGTGCATTTTGTTTACCAGACTAAAGATTGGGACATATTATTCAGTTACGACTCTTATTCGGGTCGCGGCCGAACTATAAACAGCCTTCAAAAGGCACTGTGTCAATCAGCGTTTGTTGTATAGTAGTTATTTTCACATTTTTACTGCAAAGAAAATGATGTCTGTTCATTTTTTATAACAAAGTTAAACTATGGTAACTACCAGCATTGCCCTTCGACCAGACATCGTAAAAGGGCAGAGAATATCGATAAAGAATGGCAAATAACGAAAACAGATGGCGAATTGCGCTTTGCCATCCGGGTGGCGAATGTTTGCCACCTTTGTTAATCTATTTTAAGTGCTTGGTAACATCACGCTTGACCAGGCATCATGAAAGTCCAGAGCATATGGATTTAAAAAAAAATGTGGCAAATAACGAAAACGGATAGCGAATTACTCTTTGCCGCCCGGATGTGAAAGCCTCTGCCTAAATACACTAATGTCATATTATTATTTTTTTACAATTACTTTTTAAAAGTTAACCCAGAGAATAGGGGGCTATGGTGTCTTCAAACGGTATCTAAACAACCAGATTGAGAAATATATCCTTGACAATTGGTGAGAATAATAGCTATTAAACTTTTATTTGCGTTATTTTCATATCGTGTGGGATCATTTATTATGACCACCCAATAACACATTCTACAGTACAATAACACATCTCCTTAGGAGATATCGCTTTACTTGAATTTGATTGGTCAATTAACCAGCGATTGCCAGGCAAGATACGCCCACATAATTTATTATGACCCGATAACACATTCTAAAGTAGATATCGCTTGTGTGATAACTTTCATAATCTACTGAGCGATATCTCCTATCTATTATTTAATTGGTCAAATATTAAGTAATTAATTATGATGATTGGTTACTAAGCCTGATGATGTGAAGAATAAGCCAAATATGGAATGGACATGCCTCATACCTTTCACACTGGTAGAGACGTATTACTAAATTTGGTCCACAGACACATTCCATGAAGACGGCACATGACTTTAATGTGTTCATTAACCTTTAGTTCAATTCATGCATCATAAAAATAACAGATTTCTGTTGTGCTTGTCTATAAATCAACAATAATAATTGGCCATGGCCATAATATTATTATACATATGTGTTCTATTGCACAAATCTCGCCAACCACATTATTACACAAAGCCCCGTTTTTTTATTTACTTTATCGACTTGTGTTGATATTTTTTGATATCAAAAGGAGATTCTCTATTTATTTGCTTAATAAAAAAAGCAATCGACGTATGAATCAAAGTGTTACATTTTGTTAACATATCTATATTGAAATCGCAAAAAATAAAAACTGCAAGTGAAATCGATTTAAAAATTAAGCCATTCGTATCGTTCGTGGAATTATGGGGTCTATTTAGTATTATTGATGATTGTTTCGATCCAAATGCCCCGTGCTGTCAAATTCCAAGTCAAGCCTCCCTACCAAATGCCCCACTGAAACCTCGAAAGACTGGGTGTTTTGAATTTGCCCTACCAATACCTGCCAACTAATATGGTCAAACCTTCTATTACTTATGAGGCAGTTTTTTCGTCACTGGCTCTTGGTTGGCCACTCTTGCGTTACACTATAACGCAGGTTCGTTTGTATGTTATCATTACGTGACCCTCATCTTCCATATGTAACATACGATTGGAAAAGTGCCCGTCCCATTATTTCGTATAATGGTATGCGGACATCAAAGCATGACGTCACATCCTCATTTTAAACATGATTATTCGCTTGTAACCTATTGTATCTAATCGATAGTGTGTGACCTGAAAAGGGACTAACAGTGTTATAAATGCAAAACGTATTTTAAGCGGTCACATATTTGCGTAAGCAGTAAATATACAATACAAAATAATATAAAGGCAGATAAAGATCGATGTCACGTGGTCGACATCTATAGGGTTAACGTCGTGATGTATGCTATTTATATATATTTATTTATATTACGCGTAGACCACCAGTACCTCTCTTATAATGTCATATAATTATCGTTAAGATACATACACATTATATCATGTAAATTTATAACTCATTTATAATTTATATGTCCATATTTAATGTAGATGAATATTATGTTGTCATCACTTTTCGTCGACTGACATTCCTCAAAACGCAGTGTACATTTTCACCAGATTTTGAAGTAATCTGTAATGTTAATGTTTATACATGGGACCATGCACAAATCCGAATTGGAACGTAATTCATTGATCGAGTTATTGTTCGATTGTTCTATAAGTCAAAATACATCGAAAATCGCTTGTGAACGTATAAGTGTCTTTTCATCCGAATTTAAAAAATGACACTTGACATGTGACTTTACATCTTTCTTTTAGCACTGCCAATTGTTGATCGGAATATGAAATAATAGATGGTTGTTTGCTGATATTAATGTCAGCAGAATAAACTACGTGTGTAACAATATTGTCTCTTATGTCTTTATCTGATTATTGGTTCCACATATTGTAGAGGTCATATTTCACGGACTTAAATTGAATGAGTGATAGGTTTATATATAAAAACCACCCGATTAGATTTTATTACATACTTCGAGAAGGTATTTGTTGAGTAATAAAACCTTCTAGTAGTTTATCGAGGGCTGGCCGTCCTTACCGCACGGTACAAATATTATCACCACTAGAAGCAACAAATTCCAGAACAAGCCAGAACTCATACCAAAATGGCCGCTTTATACAAATGAGTATTTAGGGGAATACTAACCCGAACCCTAACCCTTTTAAGAGAAGTAAAAACTAAATTAGACCCAAGTTCAGTCTTTTAAAAAGGGTTAGGTTAGGGTTCGGGTTAGTTATCCCCAAAATTCTCATTTATATAAAGCGGCCATTTTAGACTTCGGAAACACACGAACCTCGATAAACTACTAGAAGGTTTTATTTGTACCGTGCGGTAAGTATGTAATACAATCTAATCGGGTGTAAAAACAGTGATAATTTGGTAAACAAAATAACAAGTCTGACACTCCTGCTTCTCGACATCATTAGGCCTTGTAACCAATCATCATAATTAATTACGTAATATTTGTCCAATATTGAGACGGAGCTGTCTCAAGGCTACTGCCAAAGATTAAAAGATTTAGATCCTAGAGTTAGACACGCATTGGGTTCTTGAGAGAGATATCATGTAGTTGTGTTGGGGGATATCGTTGAGGTTGAAGAGACACCATCTGGATTCAGAATGCCCCATTAGGTTGTAGGAGAGCCATAATGATGTAAGAATTCCGTCGGTAAACTCGTTCTGCGAAATGGTGGAGTTGAGATGGTAGAGAATGACTTTATTGTAAACTATATTGTAACCTATGTATCCAGTGCTTGATATAAAATGTTAAAACGAGCGTGAAAAGGAGTTATGAGTAAAGAATTGCAAATATACCCGGATGCATGATGTAAGAATTCCGTCGGTAAACTCGTTCTGCGAAATGGTGGAGTTGAGATGGTAGAGAATGACTTTATTGTAAACTATATTGTAACCTATGTATCCAGTGCTTGATATAAAATGTTAAAACGAGCGTGAAAAGGAGTTATGAGTAAAGAATTGCAAATATACCCGGATGCATGATATGGTGATGGCGGCTGATCGACGATTGACCACGTAAGATATTGCCAGTGTTATGAGCATCTCTCATGAGAGTGTTTAGCACATTATCGCCAATGAGTTAGGGATGACAAAAGTTTCTAGAAGATGGGTGCCAAAGCGCTTGACTGTGGATCAGAAATATGTCAGATTCATGACGACCCGTTTTGAAGCAAATCCTGATAATTTTGGGGCCAGATTTGGAACCATGCATGAGACCTGTTTCCAAAAATAAAAAAGGAACTAGCCGGTCGTCATTATTTTAGTAATGATGACGTCGTGTCAGCTGTAAACGACATTTTATGATGGCTGAAGAAAATTCATTCCTTACCGGCATCGAAGGGGGTCATGTAGAATAATAAATGGAAACGATCGACTTTTTACAGGACTTTCACGGATAGACTTAGAACTTTTCAGCCAGCCCTCCTAGAACGGGGAGTGGGTGACATTTGTTGATGTTAGCGCAAGACGAGAATAGGTTGGTCCGGGCAGCGGCTAACTTCTTATATCGACGATGATATCTATAATTTTTTCAACACGTTCCTTATCAAATGGTTGGGGGGGATATCCAAAATAGCCACCAAAATAAACTACTGCATTGCGGACAGAAAATCAAATGTCTATATCCATTGCATGTTTTCAATACCAAGGAATTTTATGGAATTATCAAAAATCCGGTCAAACTACCACCATAATGGATTTCAAGAAAATACTCACATATTTGTATCATACCATGAAAAATGTAGAAAATTTACATATAGTATTTTCAATTGCCAATAATTTTCCACTTTTTAGAGAAACTTTGGGTAATATGCAAACAGAAAAATCTCAAATCAGTTGTATTGATTGTAACATTAGAGATCTACACTGCAACGTGTATCCCAATCCCCTAAAATGTCACCGACTGAATCAATTTAATCTTTGGTTGTAAATCAAACATTACAAAAGAAATATGTGTAACAGCTATGTTTTACTATCACTGGCTAACTTATGTACATATAAACTAACATTCTTCAATAAATACGAATTATTGTTAAAAATAGGCCTGAAGAAAAATGACAATTTGGTAGATAATCACCCCTCTCTAACAAAAAGGTTACATAATACACAATGTTCTCAAATTTGGGAATATTTTAATGTTTCCAAGATTTCAAACCTCAGAGGTATCAATCGTTGTGCAAAAAGTTAAAAAAAAAGTCGTTATAACAGAGTTGGCAGCAAAAGGGAGACAAGAAAAGGAGCAAAATCAACATTTTATTGTTTTATAAGTAACATATACAAGGCGGATACAGAGGGGGGTTTGGGGGTTCCACACCACCCCCACTGCTCAGCCACAAAAAAAAATTGTAAAACAACTCTTTTTATGAGAAAAGTGTCAAGGTCGTGTGCTTTATCCTTTATCGTCAGTAGTGGGATGGCATGGGCATTCAAAGCGGAGATAGTGATATAGACCAGTGGTTCTCAACCCTTTTTTTGCCAACGGCACACCTTGGAACACATAAAAAAATATCGGCTAAATATATATGAAAAATGTTTGAATTCTGCAAAATAAAAACATGTCAAGTCATAGAAGGCATACAAACGTAGACACAGACTAGTCATACACACATAGAATGACTCAAACTAAATAAAGAAAAACACAGCTATGAACTTATACTTTATAGCAGTGTTTCGAATTTCATCAGTCAAATAGCTGGCTTCTTTAATGAGCAATATTGTTAGTGTGCTGTTCAAAATTTCGCGGCACACTTAGGAAGATCTCGCGGCACACTGGTTGAGAATCACCGATATAGACATATGAGATATCACAATTAATGCTTTCCATTCATCAAAAAACATCCACACCTCTTATCTCCCCATTTGGAGTCATAATTGTGCAAAACTCTATTTTAGGCTCGTGTCAATTAAGTTATCGTGCCCGACGTATTTTATGTGATGAATTTTCTTGATATTTTGGTGTTTGACACAATTGCGGTCGGTTTTTGTTTATCTACTTTGCTTCCTTATGTTAACATCGTGCAGAACTGATGGTATTGCATATCAATAAAACTAAAACGTAGCATAGTAGATGCATGTATTTAGCATGTTTTTTATGTAAAATCCCAGTTTCTGTGTTTTGTCAAAGTGACCTCTGGTTACTCCAGATGTACGTCAAAATGTCCCCCACCTTAAAATATACATTGTTTCAGGAACCTAGCAAACCCCCTCCTGCAAAAATTCCTGGATCAGCCCCTGATATATACAACCAACACCACAAATCCTAGATCTTGATAAGAATGGCGGAGGAAACAATAAATGCCAGAAGCAAACTTTAACGATTTGCTGTTTTAATGTGATGATACTTGTGTCAATTCTTATAATATAAGATGACCCTCCGTACCTCAGTTAAGGTATACAGGCTAGAGTGTTTAACGGGCTGTTTTCAAATTTGTTGTGATGCATTGTGGCCGTGAGAAGAGGACGAACTCTATCGATATTCAGTGCTGGTCGAATTGCCGATGCGGAGATTCCCCCCCCCCCCCTTGCCTCAAACCTTGTGAAGACGATAGTAGATGCTAGAACTTCTAATGCATTCTTTTCAAATTGGTGCGAGAATTGTGGTTATAAGAGGATGAACTAATTGATATTCAGCGTTCCGCTACCTTTCATTTCGTAGTTCGGGTTCAGATTTCATCAAGGCATAAAGGATCCATATCAAATTTGGTCAACATCCAAGTTCTTTTTTGTTTAGATAACCTGTTGTCGAGACATAGCTGCTGCCTGGTCGTATTTCCATGGCTGTCTTCTTATTTAGATAACTTTCCCGTAAAATCAGCCCAAAACAATAACTGTTTTAATTCCTTAATCGTTTAAGTAACAAATTATGGCACTGCATGAAAATTATAATTGAACCATCGTTGCTTTCACTGATGAAATGGTCTTTCAGCCACTACCTATCAGTGGCGCCCCCTACAACTTACGACCACGGCACGTGCCCTACCTGCCGCACCGTCTTTATCAGGTTCAACTTACTATTGTATTCCTCCACTGCAATAGAGGAGTTGGGCCAGTAAGTTCTATACAGTTTCCTTCTGTTATCTTACCAATGCAACCCAATCCGTCCCCATTATTCTCAACATAATTTTCTGATAAATATGTTAATATTTTAATCGAAATACATCACGTTACAAAAAAATGAAATTAAATATATACACATGCTAATGAATTATAGCAAATAAAATATTCGTCAAATGATCCGTCTTCATTATTATGTCATACATAAATAAGAATATTTTTAATTTAAAATCTGATTAATTAATTTCATTATGTCTCATGACCTATAATACAACATTTAATTGGTATTAATTATTAATATGTACAACAATAACGCCAAATATGACGAAGAATATGAAGGGGTTTTTTTCATATTATTAGAATATATTTTGAGTTTTATTGAGTGAGTGACACAGATATAATGTAATCATTGTCTGGGATTACGCTACTTTAATATATTATTAGGACGGTGCCATATACATTGGTTAAATAAAGAAATATTTATGAGCATGCCTTGTTGTACAACCTGGCTTCTGACTTACGCCCACCAACAGCTAGATGGGGTTGCGAGCATTAACAAGAGTTTGCAAGAAAGAGGGGGGGACAACTCTGAGAGTTGTCGAAAAAAGTCTTTGTTTTTCTAACAAGAAATGTGATCGATAAACAGGGAACAGGTTGAAGGCAATATACGAACACATTCATAGATTAATACATTCACTGTGATAATGGCTTGACTGTCAACGAGATTAAAGAAGAATATTATACAAATAATAATAACATATTTAATGGACAACACCAAATCATGGATTGTTCTATTTACTGTACTGTAACACAACGAACAAATATGAAGCAAAGAGACAAATTAATTCCAACTTCGTTATTCTTTTAATATTAAAGTCACAATTGTGGAAAATATTAAACCAGTTAATCCTAAAGAAGAAGTTGGACTGGAAGCATCATTGTCGAATACGTTGTATTTATATCTTAAATCACCATTGATATCATTACATAATTCACTGGAACAACTGAAGTCGCAAGCAGGTCTTGTTGAGACATCAACACAACCGTCAGCAGCTGCGGGTTCTCTACATCCCCGATCCATCGACTGCATTGTGCCAAAACCTGTAACAAATAATTGTACATATGGGTCATTGGACAACAATATTTTATTGGGTTGAATGAAATTGGGTTTAACGCACTACTTTTCGTCACCTACCTGGATATTGAAAACAGGCAAGGGTATGGACATGTGCCAAACATTGTGCTATGGGAAGAATTTTTTCCCTGACAGCAATTGAATTCCACCTGCAAAAGATTCTTTTACGTGCATGCCAACGTATAAAGAGGACCTGGGTTTTTCGTCGCACCAGAACGACCAGGCACTGTCTTCTTTGGCATTCCCTACGTCATGCATCACTGACTAAGGGCCATTATTAGAGATTTTGTAAGTTAATAAGTTGCCTCCCGCGTTTCCAAGATGTCAGAGAATTGGTGTGAGAGAGATGCCAGAATTAATTTAAAACATACTTTACCTGGGGTAACTGGAATTAGTAATGTGCCTACAGGTTTAGAAGCCTACACTAAACCGATAATTATAAAAGGGGATCCAATACCAACAGGAAAAGAAGACCCCGTAAGCTGATGGCGATAACTGAATTAAACTTACTTTCTGCGAAGACAGCATGAATAACACATTGTTTCGGTAGTTTACATTCTAACTTTTGCCTGTTCACGGTATAATCTTGTGTATCATTTACACAGCCGTATCCAGCAGTTCCATCATGACCAGCGAATACATAGCTACAGGAATAACATTGAAAGGCTAGAATAAAAAATAAAAACATGTTGTAAGACAATGAAGATACATTGCCCTCTGGGTTGTCGAAGCGACCATATTATTTCTCGAAGGATAATACATTATCAGAGAAATGAACTTCCACTACCCTTCACATCTCATCATTTGGCCCCGACGGGCATCTCCAGACATCTCCCGATTATATTTTATATCTGCTCAAATCCCCATACTATTTACAACTTCTTTAGTGGACCTATCCATAACTGGGGGGGGGGGGGGTCACTGTGGCTGAGTGAGTAAGGCGTTGGCGCGCTAACTCGAAAGTCCCGTATTCGATCCCTGCGTTGGCCGAGAAAGTTCATCGGGATTTTCCGGCGTGGTTCTCCCTTGTCACTGGTGCGGGACAGAGGGTCTGACAAGGGACAACGTACAGTCGTTCGGATGTGACGAAAGCCCGAGGTCCCGTGTATAAATTGGCGTGCACGTAAGAGATCCCCTGGCAGTTGGAATTCGATATAAGAGTAGGTCGTGCTGTCCGGCCGAAATTCACGCATAGCACACTGTATGGCGTATGGCCGTCTTGATTATCCCAGTCGGAGCAGAACAGTAGGACGTTCAACCCCATTTCATTTTATTTCATCCATAAATGCCCAACAAAAATAACACGCATAAAACAGAAAAAGCCCTTCACAATAAAAGTTTCATAATCCTCCTGGCATGACATAATTAAAGTAATAATAAAATATATATTCGTTAAAAATGTCGCCTAAAATAAACAAGAAGTGGGTATATAGACCTCATGAAATTGTGTTGGATGAGAAGTCAACATAAATATCATTTCCATAAAAAAGAGTCGTATAATATGTATACTTGGCTTTAAAGTGAAAACTAAGTGCAATCTATTAACCTTTCTAATATATCCCTCATATGCATACCATTCTATAAGTATAAATGCATCATCCAGCGCCGAACTATAAGTCCTAAAGGAAAATCCCCCCACCCCCCTCTAACCCATAAAATTTTATAATTGTTAAAAACCCACTTTTAGTTTGTCTTCCTTGTTGGGATTTAAATATGTGAGCTTAAATACTCCATAATACCTCCCGCGGCGCCGCCCCCTACCCCATCGTCAAGATACTTACCACATATTTGTGGATAATAAAGAAATCTAATGCCCCCGCTCAATCGAGCAGAAAAATTAAGATAATTTAGTCTACTGCAGGTAGCAAAACAAGCTATATTTTAAATGAAATGAAATGAGATTTAACGTCCTATATTGCTATATTTTAAAATATATATATATATATCTACAGATAAAGTATACAATAAGTTTTAAATGTTTTAACAATAAATACCTTGTGAAAACTGTATTAAAGTTATTATGAATATTAATCCTTCAAAACAACACGTCCTCGTGGAAACCATCTTGACTGTTAGTGTCATGACGTTATCCGGTTTTCATAATGTCACGCTTGGTTTATTTTATGTTTGTGTTATAATATATTATCTCCTGTACAGAAGTCTCGATACCTTTCATTGTGACAATATAGACCTCTAAGCTAAACCTGTACATTACCGTACTTGTCTTATCTGTTTAAACGACAATGTAAGGCAATGTAATATAGCCCACGGTGATGACTAGATTTACTTTAACAGGGCCGTAGATACACGTAAGGTATTGGGGTGGGATTGGGCTAGGTGTCTTGCTGGAATTTGTAGGAGTTGTCTACGAAAGAGGTGGTGTTTGTATTGCGACGAGAAAAATCTAATGTAAGACAGTCCCCATGAATCTACAGGGCAAGACGAAAATATTTTGGCCCGGGCAGCGGCTAGTTTCTATATCTACAATGATAAGAGTTTCCGTTCTATTCAAAGGGAGTAAAACATCTTATGAAGATGGATAAAGGAACACGGTCTTGCTTTATATTTGTTCTTAAACCGCCATTTATAATACTTTAAAATGATTTATTTCATTACATATTATATTATATTAGAAGAATCTTTATTTACATAAAAGATTTATCGAAAAAGCTTAAGGAGCTAAATCTGTTTTATTTGGGTCACAATAAAGTATTAAATTTAAGTTTATTTGCCATGTTATTTCGTTTAGTGATGAGACAAGCTCCACACGATTACATTGTTTTTTCAAAGGTTAACAGGAAGTCGACAGTGGAACACTAAATTTTAACTGTTGACGTACTTTTTCCAATGGAGACAGATCCCCATCCCCAAAAAGAAATCAACATATAAAAGTCAATGACCAAATTCAAAGAGTTCTATAGTTATTTTAATGTATCTAAACCTCTAACTCATTACCATTCATAATATTCGAAATTAAACACACGAACTAGAATTGGTCCAGTTCAATAAATATTGATGTTGCTATCTAGCCGTGAAAATATAGGATCCTAATATTTTAAAATAAGTACACAAGTCGTGTATTTTATGGTTTCGGGCGCCAAATGCAATGAAGACAGAAAAATGTATTCTACCAAACAATGTGTAAGTATTTAATAATGGCTTATTCAGAAACGACAAAATAATAATTTAAAGTAGCAAAGTCTTTAACTCAATCTCAATTTAAATCAACATTGTTTTTGTGATTTTGCCCGGAAAAGATTGGCTTCTGATAACCAATATTTAAGACAAAATAAACATTGTACCATAGTTATACGAATCGTGTACCAGAATGCGTTCCAGCGCCATTTGTAACAAGGGACTCGAAGAACGAGCTATAGACACATTCCACAAGTCATGTCAAACGGTGACCTCATATTCGTATCTGAAGTGCATACGCAATAAATACTATCAGTGTAGACTAGAATAACCAGATGCTGGAGATTGCCATTCGATTGACACTCGCCGAACATAACTGATTTGAAATTAGAGTAAAAACGGAAACGATTGAATGTAAATACGTTTATATACATTCATATTACATTATTATATGCGTTGCGACCTATCTGTGTCAATTTCTAGGTCCCAAATATTAGCGATTTAGCTCCTTTAAAAAAGGTGTAGAACGGACCAAGCAGGCGTAAACGACTGTCGTTCACTTTAGTCTGTTCACGTATTTCACCAAATATAATTGATTAAAAATTACAATATTTGGTTTTTTTTTAAATATTGAAATAAGTCACTTTATTATATACATTCATATTACATTAATATGTGCTATTAGACCCGTTTTCTTCTATTTTATGGTTCCCAAGAATAGAGCTATACGCCCTGTAATCTGATGTAGAACGATAAAGATACTTTATGTTGTAAACTTAGATGTGATGGTTTATTTGAATGAATACTATATTATGCAATCTAGGAGTGATATTTTAATGGGTGCGGTATCTAATAATATATGACAGAAAAGATGATATTGTTTCGATAAAGTTTAGTGACAAGCCCATTTCCAGTGAAGCGTACAAATTCATATCCCTGAACACAACATACTGTATATAAATCAAACGCCAAAAAAGTTTCTTAAAGCTTCAAATAATAAAAAAACAGCCTGACGGAAGTGATCACCGGGAATGCGTAACTCATCTAAGGAATTGCATTGTTATCCTGTCAGTTAAGTGGTGAGGTTTGGGAGCTATGGTTAAACCCTACACGAAAACTGAAACTTTATATTTCTTTGAACGTGTACCACAGATAACTCCACAGGCCTAGGATATAGTTTGCAAGAGTCTTTTACTCCGAGGGGATCACGGTGGCTAAGTGGGTAAGGCGCTGGTTCGCTAGCCTGGAGGTCGGGTGTTCGATCCCTGCATTGGCCCAGAAAGTTCATCCAGATTTTCCGGCGTGATTTTTCCCCTTGTCAGTGATGCAGGACGGAGGGCCTGACAAGGACAGCTGTCTAGTCGTTCGAATGGGACGAAAAACCGAGGTCCCGTGTACACATTGGCGTGCACGTAAAAGATCCCTTGGCAGTTGGAATTCGATATAAGAGTAGGCCATAGTGCCGCTGCCCGGGCAAAATTTCCCTCATAGCACACTGTACGGCGTATGCCCGTTTTCATTAGCCCAGTTTAGGAGCAGAACAGTAGGACGTTAAACCCCATTTCATTTCACTTTTACTCCGATTTAACCAATTTATTCACTAAAATATTAGGAATTGCTATTTTTCTCGGCTCTTTTGCATGGAATTCAAGTCAAATCGCGTAAGTTGTTTATCTATTGGGTATCCGGTTTATTCGGAGGCGAGAACGTATATAGTTATTGGAATTTCTTGTGTATAACATCCATTACTAACTGGAACGAAAATCTGAAACATGTAAATTACATGGGATTTACGAGACATTAAACCAACATTTAAAAAATAAAACTAGAAACAATCTAACGGAGGTAGATGTTGTTCTATAGGGGGTGTTGTCAGTGTTTACAAGACATGCCTTCAAATTAGCACTTGTTTAGTAAGATGTCTTCGTGATTTGTCAAATCGTATTTTTTTTCATTCGGTCAGATAATGTACATATAGCTAATCCTCATGAATGAAGACTAAGGTGTCGTCTAACTTAGCGCCATATTGTCATAGCTGTGTGTTTTTCTCCATAACCTATCACATCCCTCTTTTCTGGTGGTCAAAATGTACATTTGATTGCCTCATTGTGTCTAGCTTTGAAATCTGCAGGTTTCCCTAATTTACACTGTAAAGATTTTTTTTTCTCTAAAGGTTCAACTGAATATATTCATCATTGAAAATGTCCGAGAAAACTTAAAGGTGCGTTTGAACAGTCAATAAGACTATAATATAAATAGCTCGTTATCAGAGAGAGATAAATGGGGTTGTGTGTGTGTGTGTGTGTGTGTGTGTGAGAGAGAGGGAGAGAGAGGGGGGGGGGACTAACATGGTTTTTAATTTTATTTCAATGGTCCACTTGCGCATAGGACTGTTTAGCTGTATGTGTGTGGGGGGGGGGGGGGGGGCAGAGGGCCCCGCAAAAAACAGCTAGGTTGAAGAGGCGACCTTACTCCTTGTCACGTACTAGACCCCCCCCCCCCCCCCCAAAAAAAGCTATGTCATTTCGGGACTTATATATGGTACATAATATATTTAGTGATGAATTTTATCTTAAAACTTTTATATCTTAAAGGTGAATTGTTATCTTAAAACTTTTATACCTCAGAGGTTACCTTAAAACTTATATATCTCAGTGATCTTATAACTCTTATATATCAGTGTTGAATTGGAATTTTTAAACTTGTATATCTCAGAGGTGAATTGACAGATCTGTTTTAAAGTTTGCGTGGAATCCATTTTGAACACCCCAATTATAATTAAGAGTATAATCAGGTAGAATCGACATTTTTTAATGAACGGTAAAGATCTCCAAAGTTTCTTTAATTAAACGCAAATAAAATCATTCGAAAATGTAGTCATGGATGATTTCTTAAAATTGTCAATCAATTCATCAACATTCTTACTCAACAGCTAAGTGTAACACATCTGTATAAACTTAATTAATTAAAGTGTGTATTTGTAAATTAAAAAAAAAAGACTTTATTTGGCCAGGTTCAGCAAATGTTTGCTACTGCACATGTATGGAAAAAGTAGCTTCAATTTTAATATTTTCCTCTAGATTTGAAGTTAAAGGAGATTCGATATTTTTAATATTCTAGATGGCTGTTACCCTAGGTTCCTCTAAACACGTATCTAGGAATTATTGATATAATATAATGCATTAAATATTCCCGGAGGTATTTTTCTAGTTAAACACAACAGCTTTCTAAAACAAAATCACCGCGTTCAATTGAAGGGGCGACGTAATATAGTTAAAGGGTATGGTAAGATGTTGCCCTCAATTGTCAAATTGTTGTTAGGGAAAACATTTTTCATATGTTATATATTATATCATATACCTTATTTTGTAAAGAGTAGCCCCGTCCCAACTTGTTACAGTCATGCGCCAATTATTAATTCAATGAAGAGGTGTGTAGGTAACCTGCAGCAACCGTATGTAATATTTAAAGGAGCTAAATCGCTAATATTTTGGACCTAGAAATTGGCACAAATGGGTCGCAACACAAATAATAATGTAATATGAATTTATATAAACTGTTTTACATTCAATCGTTTCCGTTTTACTGTGAATTGTCATCAGTTATGTTCGGCGAAATACGCCAGAAGTCTCAACCGAAAGACAGTGTCTAGCGTCTGGTTATTCCAGTCAACACCGATAGTATTTATTGCGCATGCACTCCAAATAAGAATATAGCATCACCGTTTGACATGACTTGTGGAATATGTCTAGCCTCATTCTTTGAGCACCTTGTTACAAATGGCACCGAAACGCATTATGGTACACGATTCGTGTGCCAATGGTAAAATGTTTATTTTGTCTTAAATATTGGATATCAGAAGCCCATCTTTTCCAGGTAAGACCACATCACCAATGCTGATTTAAATTGAAAAAAAAATCGTGTTTTCAATGTCGAAGATTTTGGATGATATTGAGTTACGGACTTAGCTACTTTAAGGTAGATGTCCGAACCAAAAATTACGCGAGGTCATAAATAAACTAAAATGTGTGAATTCAACAGATTGGCCAGGTCGAAAGCAAGAACAAAACCGGACAGCGAGATCAAAAAAGGTTTAACAAATTTACAATGATAGCACATTAAATGTACGCCTATAGTCAGCCTAAATACTTTCTTTAATAACATCAATCAAAGTTACCAAATATAAAATGACATGTATGTCATGCAATTCCTGCAAAAAAGTAGGTTGCTATGCAACAAAACACACACCCACAGCAATTAAGTCATCCGTGTCGTTAACAAGGGTTGTATATTTATTATAATATCTGTAATGAAAACATTTACAGCACACTCAAATTTGATTAAGAGTAACAACCTATTAGAATGTGTTATGACCTTAAACACTTTGAACAAATTTAAAGTCAATCAGATGATAAATTTGAACCCGAGAGCACCCACAAAATTTTTTGAAGTGATCAAGGGCCATAACTCTGGCAGTAATTATCAGAAATAGTTGAAAATCGATAGGAAGCCACGTCCCAGTACCTTAAAACGTATCCGTATCGCGGGAAAAATTCCGCTTACCAAAACGTCTACGATTACGGTAAGGGATAATCAAATGCCATTGTTGAAATGACACGAGCTTTTAGCGTCTTAATTTCAACACCTTCCAGGATAATAAAGACAGGTATACAATATACATGTACAGCTATGAGGGAAATTTTACCCTGATACAGACACCTCCAGACTACTTTTTTTTGGATTTCAAAGTTTCAAGGAAGCTTTAACGTGTTCCATGGTATACACGAAATTTCGTTTAAAGGTAAGGGGAAACCAGGGTGGTGAATCCTGTTATTAAATTAAACACGATTTCACCTCTGCTGAATACAACTACATGTATTGAAGTTATAAATACCCACTGCTGATGAATACAACTATTGAAGTTATAAATATCCATTGGGTTGGGGTAATTGAATATACTTTCATCACGAACGATGCCTGCATATAGCTTTTTTTAACATGTAGTTAATACCAGTGAAATATGAAACGATCCCGACAAAAAATAAGCTGTTTTTTTATAGCTATACCTGAATTTGTGACAAACTGGGTCAAGCTACATGTAAAATGTATTTCGAGAAAAAGCATATATTAACACCAACAATGATCGAATCGTTTGTTAAAGTGGTATGAATAGTTATTAAGCGAGGTTGCTTTCGTCAATATGCATATCGCTGAAAAAAAATACATGTATGTCTATCTCTAGTAATAAGGTATACACATGTATGTAGTGTTTAGAAGATTTTACCTCCTTGGTGGTCTTACTAATCACCTCCAAGAACCGTCAGGACGGTGTTTCGTCAATAGGCCCAAAGTTTAGTAAAAAGTTACCAACAAGGAAAGATATTTTACAAATATACAAGTTGTACATATCATATCCAATATTTCACTTTCTCCTGGGGTACATGGCAGCATAATTCACACTTCCATTCATTTTGTAAACATTTCAGTCAACTGGCCTGGTTTTGATTCCCCGGTTGTATGTGACAATGGGTTGCCTGTCCAAACTCCTGGGTTTTCTCCTGGTCATCCATTTTCCTACCATTGCTAAAGACCCCTACGCGCAAACGATTTAGGGAAATAAAATTGAACCATATTTTAGTCCCAAAATGAACCAGTTTGTGTCGAGTGGATGTTAAACCCCATTTCTCTCTCTCTTTCCATAATTTATATCTAATTTGTTGAGAGAGTCTGTTCCAGCCAAAATGGTGGGAGATGTTTGCACAATAATTTGATGCTATATTATGCTAATGAGACATTTTCCATTCTTGTCTGCGATATCACCTCAGTGGAAGTGGATGTAAAATACAACTAACTCACACATTTTCCATTATGCAATCTTTATAATGTCATTAGAATACCATAATTTGGTTTCGTGGACCCTGTATTTTCTTAGTAGAATGATTTTTTTTTAATTACATGGGGCTAAAGCCCAGAGTTTACTTTCTGCACTGACTGAGCTAATGATGATGGGCATATGGCATACAGTGTGCTATGAGGGAAATTTTGCCCGGGCAGCGGCGCTACGGCTTACTCTTATATCGAATTCCATCTGTCAAGGGTTCTTTTACGTGTACACCAATGTATACACAGGACCTCAGTTTTCCGTCACATCCGATCTGAATGAATTCAGATGTAAATTTCTTTTGCAATTTATGGTCAGTCCAACTACTAATTTGTCTGGCCTGTATACAAGTTTTACCCAGATTTCCAACTGTCAGTGGATCTTTAATGTACTGTCAATGATATTCACAGGACCTCATTTTTTTCACCATCCGAATGACTAGTGGATTATCCATGCCAAGCCAATAATCAGCAGCATAATATGAATACTAAATCATCTTAAAAGATACATAATGTAAGATTTAAAGATCTGGCCGTTCTTGCTACATGTATAATAGTTCAAAAATAGATAATGCAAAATGAATACATTGAAAATTTCATTCAAATTACTTTATTCTGAGCAAAATAATGACTGTTTGTAGTTTTGACAAGATGTCTGCATTGATTGTTTATTATTGTAACCACGGTGCTGTTTATTTGAGTCTTAGCCTCTCTTCTCCATGTTTAAATTAAATCATTAAATGACCAAACTGTTCTAATCTACTTAAAATCAGAGCCATCTGATGGCATCAAGAGTTGATTATGGTCTTGTCATGTTAATAAATGTCTAATTAGCTCTTGAATAACGCCTCTTTAATTATATAAATCAACTACCGGTATACATTATAATGATATGACAAATGAGTTTTATTAACAATGATTTATATACAGATTTAAACAATAGCATATTGCTGATATAGTAATTCTCTGACACGATAATATTCATTACATAATGTCCCCTCTAACTGAATTTTTCCAGCTTTATTCTACAAGAGAAAAAAAAATAGAATAATAAAATGGTCTATAAATAAGACATTAAAACTGTAATTAACCAAATATCACAAATAAATTTTGCATTAAATTCTCTGCTTGAATTTCCGTAAACTCAGATGATTCAATGTTACAAGTTGTTGCACTTCAATTCCAAGTCACTGACTTTAGTGCTGAGTCAAGTCGTGTCGCAAGTCTTCATCAAATTCATGGCGAATAATACAAGTTACGATTTATGTCTAATCACATCGACTTGAGTCCTTAGCGCTTTCAAGTAGCCATTTGTCGTGACTGCGAATCCCAGTCGAGTCTCGACAAATCCAAATAATTAAAAATTATATTAGCTTATATTGCAACATTATTGATAAAACTGATTTCAAATCATACTAACCCTTCCGACTGCCACCTTGTTATCACATATTAAAACACCAGCAACGAACACACATGGTATTTTCTCTTGTAATAAGACCAGTTTAAAGTCAGATAATTTTGGTTCATTAATAAATACGGATGTATGTGTTGGTACCTAGAAAACAGAAAGTGTATCATTTCTTCATTTAATATATATTTGAGCAGTAGCCAAACATAAAAACTTGATAACACTACATATCGATATATTATTTGATGACATATATATAGTAACTACATTCTGGTGTTTTGTTATTTCTGAACAGACAGTTTAAAGGAGTTACTTTATTTATCTCTATTTGACAAGTGTCATGTATTGAACTTGAAGGTAAACTTAGCCTTACATCATTCTAGTTTATTTCTATCACTTGTGTGTAATTCATGTAACAATTTTGAACCAGTGTAAGTACCAAATTACTACCAATTCCAGTCATTGGCAGTTGTACAACCACAGTAGGCTAGAATATTTCAGTGGAAGTAGCTGAACTCTTGAAGTACCAATTCCATTCACTAGCAGCTATATATGTCAATTAATGTAGCTGAACTATTGGAGTACAAATTCTAAACAATAGCAGTTATATAACCAAACCTTTGTTGTATAGTTGATTGAGTTTCACCCTTACTCAAATTGTACATCTTGACATTTATTTTCATTATAGATTAGCTTAAAATTAGAATAAAAGGTATATGGTTCAAATATAGTATAAATTCAAAGTCTGTCAGATTTGGAAGGGATTACAACAATAAATGCCCATATAAAACTATATAAACTATGACATTACCTTATTAGATGGAAGACAATCTAATGTTGGTATTATTTCCGAATCTTTTTCTGTAAATTAAGAAAATAATAAGAAATCACTATAAATTCATCAATATCCGTAACGTAAACATTCCTTGTTGACTCACATATTTTGTAGTTAAAACTATGCAAATTCTATACAGTAGTAAAATCTGGAGTTAAATGTCCACTCAACACAAGTGGATTATTTTGGGACTAATACACATGTTATTATAGAGGTTCAGAGAGAGAGAGACAGAGAAATGGAGTTTAACGTCCACTCGACACAAACTAGGTCATTTCGGACTAACATACGGTTCAATTTTATTTCCATAATTTGCATGCGCGTAGGGGTCTTTAGCAGTGGGAGGAAACCGGAGGACCCAGAGAAAACCCACGAAGTTGGACAGGCGACCCTACTCCTTGTCACGTACAACTGGGGATTCGAAACCCCGCCAGTTGACTCAATGACAGACTTTATGATACAGCACGCACATGCTAATCATTCAGCCATCCAACCCCCCTAGAGGTTCAGAAGAATGATATGGAGAGAAGGGTAGATGAGAAGAATTAGTCTACAATTCATGTATTCATCTTTTAAAATGTTTTCTTAACTCAAGATATAAACAAATGTAACAGAATGAGACATAACATTTTGTCATAATAATACTACTAACACACAAAAATTTATATGTTTATGAGTACATTTTCAATTCGAGGAGGAGACTTTTGCCTGGGCAGCAGTGTTTCTGGCTACTATTCTTTAAATTCAAATTGTCTATTTACATTCATGCTTAATGATATAAACAAGTGACTTTTTTTTTTATCCCATCTGGATTACTGGACACACTTTCCTTATCAGTACCTTTTTTATTCCTCTCCTCCGATAAAGTATTTGAATCGACTGGTTCGTCATTTTCTATATAATTCAACTGGGCATCAATCCATGCTAATTCTACATCACGGGCTGTAGAAAAATTTAATGATGTCACTAGATGATCTCGTAATTTGGCCTGAAAAGATAAACATTTTCCATCAAACATCTCTTGCTTTTTATTCTCTTTGATATTCTGAATAAGTTTTATCAATATCAATTTGGATAATTAAAAATTTAAATATGCCGAAAATTCCACAAATTTATTGAAACATGTTTAAAATAACAATTTATGTGTCTCAATCCTATTTTTTTTATTATTTACTCTAACAGAATTATCTCCCTTGTACCAACCGGTTCATTTTGATTGTTGGAAGCCATCAAGTTAAAAGTTAGATTGAAACAAACTAAACAAACCTGGAATATTCGACTTTCTGTTGTTGCATCAATACTATCACCAACTTTAGGTTGAAATATTTTTCCCTGAATGAGGGAAGAACTTGTACAAAACTCGGCTAATGTCTCAGTAGCAGCTGGTGTACCTCGAACTAAAACCTGAAGATAAAAATAGTAGAAACCTCTTATACTTCACTAAGTACTTCCTGGCAAAATGTCTAAACAGCTGAGCAATCTTTGTCATGTCATCTCTCTTATTGTAACGCTATAATGATTACATTGCAAAGAGCTAATCTGATATTTTCATCCTTTAAAACAAGATGACAAATAATAACTGTTTCTGATTTATTCTTTGTGACACAATAATTGATACTAAATGATAACAATTTGGACAATTTAGGAGGTTTGGAAAATAGCGTCGGACATGTCCGGAATGGGCGAAATCCCATCACTGAACAAAACTCTGATTCTCTCTCTATATAGATTAAAGAAGAATAAGAGTATATAGGAATAACTCCATTGTATGGTCTTTGATGAATGCACTATTCAATGAATAATAACAGTAATTTGATTTGACTCATTTTAAAATAATTGCTATTTATACCAACTATCTTGATTTGTCAAAGTGATCTCTGGTTACCCCAGATGTACGTCAAAATGACCGGGGGAAGCAAACCACCCCCACACCACCCCAGATCCCCCACCTTAAAATATACATTGTTTCAGGAACGTAGCAAACCACCTCCTGCAAAAATTCCTGGGTCCGCCCCTGATATATACAACCAACACCACAAATCTTAGATTTTGATAAGAATGGCGGAGGAAACAATAAATGTCAGAAGCAAACTTTAACGATTTGCTGTTTTAATGTGATGATACTTGTGTCAATTCTTATAATATAAGATGACCCTCCGTACCACAGTTAAGCGATACAGGCTATAGTGTTTAACGGTTTTGATGCCGTGAAAAGAGGACGAACTCTATCGATATTCAGTGCTGGTCGAATTGTCGTTGCGGAGATTTCCCCCAATTGCCTCAAACCTTGTGAAGACGATAGTAGATGCCAGAACTTCTAATGCATTCTTTTCAAATTGGTGTGAGAATTGTGGTTATAAGAGGGTGAACTAATTGATATTCAGCGTTCCGCTACCTTTCATTTCGGAGTTCGGGTTCAGATTCATCAAGGCATATAGGATCCATATCAAATTTGGTCAACATCCAAGTTCTTTTTTGTTCAGATAACCTGTTGTCGAGACATAGCTGCTGCCTGGTCGTATTTCCATGGTTGTCTTCTTATTTAGATAACTTTCCTATAAAATCAGCCCAAAACAATAACTGTTTCAATTCCTTAATCGTTTAACTAACAAATTATGGCACTGCATGAAAATTATAATTGAACCATCGTTACGCCCACGGCACGTGCCCTACATGCCGCACCGTCTTTATCAGGTTCAACTTACTATTGTATTCCTCCACTGCAATAGAGGAGTTGGGCCAGTAAGTTCTATACAGTTTCCTTCTGTTATCTTACCAATGCACCCCAATCCGTCCCCATTATTCTCAACATAATTTTCTGATAAATATGTTAATATTTTAATAGAAATACATCACGTTACAAAAAAATGTACATGTTAAATACTATTATCACCCAATAATACATTCTACAGTAGATATCGCTTGTGTGATATATTTCATAATCTACTGCGATATCTCCTTAGGGTATATCGCTTTATATGAATTTGATTGGTCAGTTGAAAAGGAACTACTTTTTTTTATTTTCCAAGAACAGTTCATTTGTTATTAAAAGTAACTTTTTTTTTATTAAAAATGAACTATTGTGATTCAATTGACTTTGATGGAAACGCTGGGGTCAATATAAAGAACTTTGCAATGGTTGAATTGCTGTCAAAAAATGATGTATCACTACGCCGTAATGTTCAGTAAAAGTGAAATTTACAGCAAAGAATTATATTTATCTATTTGTGCATGTAACAAAGGATTGGGTGATAAATAAAATCTCCTACTCGTCTTTTTTTGATATCAAAATATATCAACACTCGTTGATAAAGTAAAAAAAAACTCGGCAGAGCCTCGTTTTTTGTTACTTTATCAACTTGTGTTGATATTTTTTGATATCAAAATAGACTGGTAGGAGATTCTCTATTTATAAACGAAATGAAATTAAATATATACACATGCTAATGAATTATAGCAAATAAAATATTCGTCAAATGATCCGTCTTCATTATTATGTCATACATAAATAAGAATATTTTTAATTTAAAATCTGATTAATTAATTTCATTATGTCTCATGACCTATAATACAACATTTAATTGGTATTAATTATTATTATGTACAACAATAACGCCAAATATGACGAAGAATATGAAGGGTTTTTTTTCACATTATTAGAATATATTTTGAGTTTTATTGAGTGAGTGACACAGATATAATGTAATCATTGTCTGGGATTATGAGCATGCCTTGTTGTACAACCTGGCTTCTGACTTACGCCCACCAACGCTAGATGGGGTTACGAGCATTAACAAGAGTTTGCAAGAAAGAGGGGGGGGGGACAACTCTGAGAGTTGTCGAAAAAAGTCTTTGTTTTTCTAACAAGAAATGTGATCGATAAACAGGGAACAGGTTGAAGGCAATATACGAACACATTCCTATAGATTAATACATTCACTGTGATAATGGCTTGACTGTCAACGAGATTAAAGAAGAATATTATACAAATAATAATAACATATTTAATGGATAACACCAAATCATGGATTGTTCTATTTACTAAATATGTCGAAAAACACTCTTTCAGAAAGTTACATACTGTAACACAACGAACAAATATGAAACAACGAGACAAATTATTCTTTTAATATTAACGTCACAATTGTGGAAAATATTAAACCAGTTAATCCTAAAGAAGAAGTTGAACTGGTAGCATTCTTGTCGAATACGTTGTATTTATACCTTAAATCACCATTGATATCATTACATAATTCACTGGAACAACTGAAGTCGCAAGCAGGTCTGGTTGAGACATCAACACAACCGTCAGGAGCTGCGGGTTCTCTACATCCCCGATCCATCGACTGCATTGTGCCAAAACCTGTAACAAATAAATGTACATATGGGTCATTGGACAACAATATTTTAGTGGGCTGAATGAAATTGTGTTTAACGCACTACTTTTCGTCACCTACCGGGATATTGAAAACGGGCAATGGTATTGATATGTGCCAATCAGTATGCTATGGGAAGAATTTTTCCCTGACAGCAATTGAATTCCACCTGCAAAAGATTCTTTTACGTGCATGCCAACGTATAAAGAGGACCTGGGTTTTTTGTCGCACCAGAACGACCAGGCACTGTCTTCTTTGGCATTCCCTACGTCATGCATCACTGACTAAGGGCCATTATTAGAGATTTTGTAAGTTAATTAAGTTGCCTCCCGCGTTTCCAAGATGTCAGAGAATTGGTGTGAGAGAGATGCCAGAATTAATTTAAAACATACTTTACCTGGGGTAACTGGAATTAGTAATGTGCCTACAGGTTTAGAAGCCTACACTAAACCGATAATTATAAAAGGGGATCCAATACCAACAGGAAAAGAAGACCCCGTAAGCTGATGGCGATAACTGAATTAAACTTACTTTCTGCGAAGACAGCATGAATAACACACTGTTTCGGTAATTCACATTCAAACTTTTGCATGTTCACGGTAAAATTTTGTGTATCATTTACACAGCCGTAATCATAAGTTCCATCATTACCAGCGAATATATAGGTACAGGAATAACATTGAAAGGCTAGAATAAAAAATAAAAACATGTTGTAAGACAATGAAGATACATTGCCCTCTGGGTTGTCGAAGCGACCATATTATTTCTCGAAGGATAATACATTATCAGAGAAATGAACTTCCACTACCCTTCACATCTCATCATTTGGCCCCGACGGGCATCTCCAGACATATCCCGATTATATTTTATATCTGCTCAAATCCCCATACTATTTACAACTTCTTTAGTGGACCTATCCATAACTGGGGGGTCACTGGGGCTGTGTGAGTAAGGCGTTGGCTCGCTAACTCGAAAGTCCCGTATTCGATCCCTGCGTTGGCCGAGAAAGTTCATCGGGATTTTCCGGCGTGGTTCTCCCTTGTCACTGGTGCGGGACAGAGGGTCTGACAAGGGACAACGTACAGTCGTTCGGATGTGACGAAAGCCCGAGTTCCCGTGTATAAATTGGCGTGCACGTAAGAGATCCCCTGGCAGTTGGAATTCGATATAAGAGTAGGCCGTGCTGTCCGGCCGAAATTCACGCATAGCACACTGTATGGCGTATGGCCGTCTTGATTATCCCAGTCGGAGCAGAACAGTAGGACGTTCAACCCCATTTCATTTTATTTCATCCATAAATGCCCAACAAAAATAACACGCATAAAACAGAAAAAGCCCTTCACAATAAAAGTTTCATAATCCTCCTGGCATGACATAATTAAGGTAATAATAAAATATATATTCGTTAAAAATGTCGCCTAAAATAAACAAGAAGTAGGTATATAGACCTCATGAAATTGTGTTGGATGAGAAGTCAACATAAATATCATTTCCATAAACAAGAGTCGTATAATATGTATACTTGGCTTTAAAGTGAAAACTAAGTGCAATCTATTAACCTTTCTAATATATCCCTCATATGCATACCATTCTATAAGTATAAATGCATCATCCAGCGCCGAACTATAAGTCCTAAAGGAAAATCCCCCCACCCCCCTCTAACCCATAAAATTTTATAATTGTAAAAAAACACTTTTAGTTTGTCTTCCTTGTTGGGATTTAAAGATGTGAGCTTAAATACTCCATGATACCTCCCGCGGCGCCGCCCCCTACGCCACCGTCAAGATACTTACCACATATTTGTGGATAATAAAGAAATCTAATGCCCCCGCTCAATCGAGCAGAAAAATTAAGATAATTTAGTCTACTGCAGGTAGCAAAACAAGCTATATTTTAAATGAAATGAAATGAGATTTAACGTCCTATATTGCTATATTTTAATATATATATATATATATATATATATATATATCTACAGATAAAGTATACAATAAGTTTTAAATGTTTTAACAATAAATACCTTGTGAAAACTGTATTAAAGTTATTACGAATATTAATCCTACAAAACAACACGTCCTCGTGGAAACCATCTTGACTGTTAGTGTCATGACGTTATCCGGTTTTCATAATGTCACGCTTGATTTATTTTATGTTTGTGTTATAATATATTATCTCCTGTACAGAAGTCTCGATACCTTTCATTGTGACAATATAGACCCCCAAGCTAAACCTGTACATTACCGTACTTATCTGTTTAAACGACAATGTAAGGCAATGCAATATAGCCCACGGTGATGACTAGATTCACTTTAACAGGGCCGTAGATACACGTAAGGTATTGGGGTGGGATGGGGCTAGGTGTCTTGTTGGAATTTGTAGGAGTTGTCTACGAAAGAGGTGGTGTTTGTATTGCGACGAGAAAAATCTAATGTAAGACAGTCCCCATGAATCTACAGGGCAAGACGAAAATATTTTGGCCCGGGCAGCGGCTAGTTTCTATATCTATAATGATAAGAGTTTCCGTTCTATTCAAAGGGAGTAAAACATCTTATGAAGATGGATAAAGGAACACGGTCTTGCTTTATATTTGTTCTTAAACCGCCATTTATAATACTTTAAAATGATTTATTTCATTTCAATAATTACATATTATTGGAAGTCTCATATATCAGAAAGATCTCCTATATCAGTTTATATTAGAAGAATCTTTATTTACATAAAAGATTTATCGAAAAAGCTTAAGGAGCTAAATCTGTTTTATTTGGGTCACAATAAAGTATTAAATTTAAGTTTATTTGCCGTGTTATTTTGTTTAGTGATGAGACAAACTCCAGACGATTACATTGTTTTTCAAAGGTTAACAGGAAGTCGACAGTAAAACATTAAATTTTAACTGTAGACGTACTTTTTCCAATGGAGACAGATTCCCATCCCCAAAAAGCCAATGACCAAATTCAAAGAGTTCTATAGTTATTTTAATTTACCTAAACCTCTAACTCATTATCTTTCATAATATTCGAAATTAAACACACGAATTAGAATAAAATATTGGTCCAGTTCAATCAATATTGATGTTGCTATCTAGCCGTGAAAATATGGGATCCTAATATCCAATACTTAAGACACAATGAACATTTTAAAATAAGTCAGAGGCGGATTCAATGGGGGGCGCGAGGGGAGACCCCCCCCCCCCAATTTTCGACAGTGCCCTTTTTTACTGCTGAAAGTGCCTTTTCTCAGACTCAAATATGTCCGTTCCCAACCCGTTGTAGGGATCCCGAATGACTCAAACCATCGACTCAAACACACCAGTCTGGGAAATATCTCTTGGAATGGCTACAGATGCAAGGAAATGACGGATAATTGTCTTGTCCCCCCCCCCCACAGCGGCGTGCCCCGTCGCCGCGGTCAATGCCTTCATTTTGCAGCGCCCCCACCCCTTTTCAAAATTCCTAGATCCGCCCCTGTAAGTACACAAGTCGTGTATTTTATGGTTTCGGGCGCCAATTGCAATGAAGGCAGAAAAATGTATTCTACCGAACAATGTGTAAGTATTTAATAATGGCTTATTCAGAAACGACCAAATAATTATTTAAAGTAGCTAAGTCTTTAACTCAATCTCATCCACCGTCAATTTAAATCAACATTGGTTTTGTGATCTTACCAGGAAAAGATTGGCTGCTGATAATCAATATTTAAGACAAAATAAACATTTTACCATTGGTATGCGAATCGTGTACCAGACTGCGTTCCAGTGCCATTTGTAACAAGGGACTCGAAGAACGAGCTATAGACATATTCCACAAGTCATGTCCAACAGTGACCTCATATTCGTATCTGGAGAGCATGCGCAATAAATACTATCGGTGTAGACTGGAATAACCAGATGCTGGAGATTGCCATTCGATTGCCATTCGCCGAACATAACTGATTTGAAATTAGAGAAAAAACGGAAACGATTGAATGCAAATAAGTTTATATACATTCATATTACATTACTATATGCGTTGCGACCTATCTGTGTCAATTTCTAGGTCCCAAATATTAGCGACTGTCGTTCACTTTAGTCTGTTCACGTATTTCACCAAATATAATTGATTAAAAATTACAATATTTGTTTTTTTTTAAATATTGAAATAAGTCACTTTATTATATACATTCATATTACATTAATATGTGCTATTAGACCCGTTTTCTTCTATTTTATGGTTCCCAAGAATAGAGCTATACGCCCTGTAATCTGATGTAGAACGATAAAGATACTTTAAGTTGTAAACTTAGATGTGATGGTTTATTTGAATGAATACTATATTATGCAATCTAGGAGTGATATTTTAATGGGTGCGGTATCTAATAATATATGACAGAAAAGGTGATATTGTTTCGATAAAGTTTAGTGACAAGCCCATTTCCAGTGAAGCGTACAAATTCATATCCCTGAACACAACATACTGTATATAAATCAAACGCCAAAAAAGTTTCTTAAAGCTTCAAATAATAAAAAAAAACAGCCTGACGGAAGTGATCACCGGGAATGCGTAACTCATCTAAGGAATTGCATTGTTATCCCGTCAGTTAAGTGGTGAGGTTTGGGAGCTATGGTTAAACCCTACACGAAAACTGAAACTTTATATTTCTTTGAACGTGTACCACAGATAACTCCACAGGCCTAGGATATAGTTTGCAAGAGTCTTTTACTCCGAGGGGATCACGGTGGCTAAGTGGGTAAGGCGCTGGTTCGCTAGCCTGGAGGTCGGGTGTTCGATCCCTGCATTGGCCGAGAAAGTTCATCCAGATTTTCCGGCGTGATTTCCCCTTGTCAGTGATGCAGGACGGAGGGCCTGACAAGGACAGCTGTCTAGTCGTTCGGATGGGACGAAAAACCGAGGTCCCGTGTACACATTGGCGTGCACGTAAAAGATCCCTTGGCAGTTGGAATTCGATATAAGAGTAGGCCATAGTGCCGCTGCCCGGGCAAAATTTCCCTCATAGCACACTGTACGGCGTATGCCCGTCTTCATTAGCCCAGTTTAGGAGCAGAACAGTAGGACGTTAAACCCCATTTCATTTCACTTTTACTCCGATTTAACCAATTTATTCACTAAAATATTAGGAATTGCTATTTTTCTCGGCTCTTTTGCATGGAATTCAAGTCAAATCGCGTAAGTTGTTTATCTATTGGGTATCCGGTTTATTCGGAGGCGAGAACGTATATAGTTATTGGAATTCCTTGTATACAACATCCATTACTAACTGGAACGAAAATCTGAAACATGTAAATTACATGGGATTTACGAGACATTAAACCAACTTTTAAAAAATAAAACTAGAAACAATCTAACGGAGGTAGATGTTGTTCTATAGGGGGTGTTGTCAGTGTTTACAAGACATGCCTTCTAATTAGCACTTGTTTAGTAAGATGTCTTCGTGATTTGTCAAATCGTATTTTTTTTCATTCGGTCAGATAATGTACATATAGCTAATCCTCATGAATGAAGACTAAGGTGTCGTCTAACTTAGCGCCATATTGTCATAGCTGTGTGTTTTTCTCCATAACCTATTACATCCCTCTTTTCTGGTGGTCAAAATGTACATTTGATTGCCTCATTGTGTCTAGCTTTGAAATCTGCAGGTTTCCCTAATTTACACTGTAAAGATTTTTTTTTCTCTAAAGGTTCAACTGAATATATTCATCATTGAAAATGTCCCAGAAAACTTAAAGGTGCGTTTGAACAGTCAATAAGACTATAATATAAATAGCTCGTTATCAGAGAGAGATAAATGGGGTTGTGTGTGTGTGTGTGTGTGTGTGTGAGAGAGAGAGAGAGAGAGAGAGAGAGAGAGGGGAGAGAGGGGGGGACTAACATGGTTTTTAATTTTATTTCAATGGTCCACTTGCGCATAGGACTGTTTAGCTGTATGTGGGGGGGGGGCAGAGGGCCCCGCAAAAAAACAGCTAGGTTGAAGAGGCGACCTTACTCCTTGTCACGTACTAGTGGGGAATCGGTCGAAACCACGTCAATTGATTCAATGATACAACGCGTCCGGCTACCTACTCTCGACCCCCCCCCCACCAAAAAAAATGCTATGTCATTTCGGGACCAATATATGGTACATAATATATTTAGTGATGAATTTTATCTTAAAACTTTTATATCTTAAAGGTGAATTGTTATCTTAAAACGTTTATATCTCAGAGGTTACCTTAAAACTTATATATGTCAGTGATCTTATAACTCTTATATATCAGTGTTGAATTGGAATTTTTAAACTTGTATATCTCAGAGGTGAATTGACAGATCTGTTTTAAAGTTTGCGTGGAATCCAATTTGAACACCCCAATTATAATTAAGAGTATAATCAGGTACAATCGACATTTTTTAATGAACGGTAAAGATCTCCAAAGTTTCTTTAATTAAACGCAACTAAAATCATTCGAAAATGTAGTCATGGATGATTTCTAAAAATTGTCAATCAATTCATCAACATTCTTACTCAACAGCTAAGTGTAACACATCTGTATAAACTTAATTAATTAAAGTATGTATTTGTAAATGAAAAAAAAAGACTTTATTTGGCCAGGTTCAGCAAATGTTTGCTACTGCACATGTATGGAAAAAGTAGCTTCAATTTTAACATTTTCCTCTAGATTTGAACTTAAAGGAGATTCGATATTTTTAATATTCTAGATGGCTGTTACCCTAGGTTCCTCTAAACACGTATCTAGGAATTATTGATATAATATAATGCATTAAATATTCCCGGAGGTATTTTTCTAGTTAAACACAACAGCTTTCTAAAACAAAATCACCGCGTTCAATTGAAGGGGCGACGTAATATAGTTAAAGGGTATGGTAAGATGTTGCCCTCAATTGTCAAATTGTTGTTAGGGAAAACATTTTTCATATGTTATATATTATATCATATACCTTATTTTGTAAAGAGTAGCCCCGTCCCAACTTGTTTACAGTCATGCGCCAATTATTAATTCAATGAAGAGGTGTGTAGGTAACCTGCAGCAACCGTATGTAATATTTAAAGGAGCTAAATCGCTAATATTTTGGACCTAGAAATTGGCACAAATGGGTCGCAACACAAATAATAATGTAATATGAATTTATATAAACTGTTTTACATTCAATCGTTTCCGTTTTACTGTGAATTGTCATCAGTTATGTTCGGCGAAATACGCCAGAAGTCTCAACCGAAAGAC